CCAAAACTCGAGCACATAATTTTCTCAATTTTTTTAAATGAATCACCCTGTATTTTATTTTAAAAACTGAAAATACCATAGATATTTACCATTTACTAACAAAAATAGAGTTTTTAAAAATTTGCTNTCGGTCGATGGATTCCGGAGATATAAACAAAAAATATATATTTTTTAACAACTTCAACACCCTGTGTCTCTAAAACGAGGCCGTTCCAGACCTATGTTTATAAGGCAAACACCTACTATTTTAAAAAGACCTATCTAACATACTATTTTTTAAATGGGACACCCTATATATTATTTCAAATTTAAATTAAATTTATCTCTCCCATGCTTCCAATTTTTAATTTTGTTGTGATATTCCAAAAGTTATGGTCAATTGTATACGAGAATCATTCCCATTTCAGCGTCCTGTATACCCTAAACAGAACAACTTAACAATAAATTTTTGCAGGCATATTTTTTTGATATTGGTACCGTTTTACGAGAAAGTGCTATTTCTTTATTATTGCAACAGTTGAATATAGGGCGAGCCAAAACTCGAGCACATAATTTTCTCAATTTTTTTAAATGAATCACCCTGTATTTTATTTTAAAAACTGAAAATACCATAGATATTTACCATTTACTAACAAAAATAGAGTTTTTAAAAATTTGCTATCAGGTATAACAAGTTGCCCGTGGGCAAATGACAGTGTGAAAAATTGTTATAAAACATTAGGTATAAAATATCCGTTGTTAAAACCAAATTCTTATAATATTAACCAACTTGTTATAATATGATTTTTTTTGTTCTGTTGTCCGCTGAAATGGTAATGATTCTCGTAAACAATTGACCATAACTTTTGAAATATCCTGTATAACATAATTATATCCTCTATTGGAAACATGGGAGAGATGAGCTTAATCTAAATTTGAAATAATATATAGAGTGTCCCATTTAAAAAATAGTATGTTTGGTTCGCCCTGGTAATTTGTAACACCCTGTATATATGAAAATGTGCAGTCTTAAGTTGGCTACAATTTTTGTAAATAACTTTTTTTGATATCTTCTATAATAAAGGAGATATCGTACTTCGACGCACTAATGCCGCACCCTGTATGTATATTACCTGGGCATGTTAATTTATTTAGAGTAACGAAACGTCGACAAACAAAAATATGTTTTCTTTAATTTGGTTCTAATCTCCACCATTGACCACTAATATTCAATTCAGGCAGCTAGCAACATTATTTGTAACTTAAAAACCATATAATTGAACAAATGAAACTTAATCGATACACACTACAATCGCCAACATACATGTATTTTTTTGTCTAGAAATAATCTGTACACAACCTTATACTTGCATATGTATTGTTAACGTTAAAGAAAATTAAGTCAAATCCAATTTTTAATCACCAACAACAATAACTTGACTGCTCAAACTCAATCTGTCCCATAAAACGCCTATTCAATACTATTTCAACACTTCTCACCCACCGTGGACCCCTGTCCTCCAATTTACAAGGAACGTATTTAATAAATTAAACAATTGTTATATGGTCTTAACGTTCGCTCATTTTAACACTGTCGCGTCCCTGCAACCTATAGGATCAGATGGAGCAAATTCAAACCACTGGGAAGTCGATTCAACTCGTACAACAGAAAACAAAGTTATCGAATGAAATATCTCTTCCTTTTTGTTTCTCTACTGTCTTGATCTTTCTGTTGCTCTCTTCTTTCTGTATCTTCCCTCACCCTTAGGTAGCACACAGGACTACCTAGTGGCTCACAAGTCCACCAACGTGTGACACACAAGGTTACCTGAGATAGCACACAATACTATCTAATCGCTCACAGAACCACCTACGTTGGGTAACGGACAGGATTATCTGAGATAGCACACAAGAGCACCTAATGACACACAAGACCATCGACGATTAGTATTGCATGGGGTTATCTGAAGCAGCAAACAGAACTCTCCCAAGGTACACAGGATCCTCTTAGGTTGAACTAAGTTTCAACTAAGCATCACTGGAGCAGGACCACCCAACTTACAAATAGACGTACCACAGTTTCTAGTCCAGTCTTCACAGGGACGGGCAACAGCAACAGTCATCGATTCAAAGCAGGAAGATGAAAATGTCCCTTCGGAATAGTACAATGTCAAATGTGAACATAAAAAAATAATCAACTAAATTTCAGAACAATACAACAATTGCAATTTAACAATTTGTGGAGGAAATAATTTTATAGTATCGGACTATACCAAGGTACACAGGACCCTCTGGAATCTGGAATCTGGAATTTTAGGGAGCGTAGCTTAAAAAGCTACAGCACTTAGACCCCATTGGGCCTCTTGTACTTCCTTTCATTAGGAGATCAATCCACCTGAACTGCTAACCAATCTATTACAGCGAAAAAGGTGGTTACGTTACTCAAGGGGATCTCTCTAATAGAAGGCCAATGTTCTCCAACACGGATTCTCTTGTTAACGAGACGGCAGTGCATTTGCATAGCACATGTACTAGATATGCTGTTGAAAACTGAGGCCACACCAGTGTCTGGTGGCTGATTTAATCATTATCTTATGATTACGCAAGATCAGTAATGCTTGTCTACTATCTATGTAGATTCTGATGGTTTTACCCGGAATGTGCCTACGGGCAATTTCTTTAGCGGCTATGGTTATATCTGCTAATTCCGTTTGTACCACGGTAGCATGCCTATCCATTACCCACTGAATAAATTCCACATCCTGCGCCTTCATGCCTTTTTGATCCGTCTGTGAAGACATTGATTGCATCTTCGCGGGTGGTCTCCTCCTGTGTTCTGATGAGTACGGTGTAGGGTCTGTTAAAAGCAAACCGTGGAGAAATATTGTCAGTGTCTGCCTGCAGAAGGGGCATCTTCCTGACGACCCCATTCCATAGGCTATTCCACATCCTACATCCGATTTGAAACCAACGTTCTTTAGGCGAAGCATGGTGTCAAGGCCACTTCTCTTAGATAGATATCCAGAGGTGGTAGACACAGCATTACCTCCATTTATTATGATGGATGTTGTTTGCATAGCTCCAGTTATGCTGAAATGGAAATGGAAATTCCGTCCTCCTTTGTAGGACGGAATTTCCAACCAAGCTTCACCAGAATAAACAAGTAAATAGGACCATCTAACTTAGACTGACTACAGTATCCAGTCCAATCTTCACAAAGATAGGCATCAGTAACAGCCGTTGAACAAGAAGATCAAAATGTCCCTTTCATAAAGCATAGATAGTACAAAGTCAATTACAGTGCAAGAGACTGCTGTAGTTGACTGAAGAAACAGATCATTTATTGTGTTCGGTATGATGTTCATGATGATGCGATCTTCTAGTTTGTAATGTTGGCCCAGAGTTCATTTTTGATAATAAAAGTACTTTATTCTGTTTATGTTCTTCTCGCTCTACAAGCTCTTTCAATTTGTCAAAAACACACATCGTTTCAATGAAATATCTGTGCCTTGGTTGAAATACCACGTTTTTGCATTGCCCTTGACCTTGCTTGCTATAACATATTTCGGCTTTATCGTCCCAATAAAAAAAATTCCTTGTCGCATCTACATAACGCAACCACTGTTGCAATTATAAAAGTTTGGTTTTAAAGGGCGGTTGCTGGCGCACTAATTCATGACGTCACTTAGTGCGATCGAGAATCCAAAATATGAATGATAGTGATAGGACCACACTACGAAATGAATAGTAAGTAACAAGAGTCTAGAGCCACAGCGAAATTCACTTTACTTCGAGGCTCCCTGCATGCGCATTTCTTTACATTAGGTTCCACCGCGTCCACATGGGAATTGTAGACTAAACGGCAGACGGACGAGAAGCAGGTTGTGTTGTCAGTTGCATGACATCACAAGGTTTCAATAAATAAATATTATTAATATTATTGTTACTGCACTGACAAAATTGTTATCTAATATTAAACTATCCTGTAAGTTCCGGTATTTTAAATTTAAATTGCTTGATTGTTTATCATCTAAGTAGAATAATGCATAACTTTTTATGATTTTCTTTTAAATTATGAGCTTACATTATAAGTTTGAAAATAGTTAGTTTAAATTAAATAAATGAAAAGTAAATCTTACACAAAATACTTTTAGTATTAATAGGCAGTTTGGCCATCCATTAAATAAATCGTCAACACAATAAGATCTAGCTGTAATCGCTACAAGATTTACAGAAAAAACTAAGTTAGTTCCTAAAGGGGGCGTTTTTATGCGTATTTTCACTGAATTTATAGCAGTCTCTTGGCGAGGGTTTTAGAAAATCTAAGCAAGTTATAAACTTCACTGTACTAGTTGTACAAGTTCTCTGCAGCTTACAATATATTCAGAATAATGTTTATCATTTCATTTGCTGAACTTTAAACGCCTGTTGAATATACAGAAAATCACGTACGGTACTATAAACATAATCACACCCTACAAAATGGTTTTAGAAAACTATTAACACATAAATTAATCATAATTATTCAGGATTTTTAAAATCCTCGAGAAAACAGGAAATGTACATTCTGATGTTTACATAGTGTCCATGTTTTCCGTAATCTTTCACAGCGAAAAATTAAAAAAATCCTTGTATTTCAACTTATTTATAGTTTACCTGAGTTTTCTTGTTCAATCATTGTCTTACTGAAAGTGCGATTTCTTGCCTATAAAACGCCAACCTTAAATCTGTTTTGAAAGATTTCTCTCAAAAAAGTGAACAACGTTCACGAAACCCGCAACATTATATCCTCAACAATAATCCTAATTACGTCAAACATGGAGTGTACTGTTCAATTAGCGTTAATTTGCTTTTCCTATACCTACTAATAATACGGTCGGAAAAATGGCGAGGTCTGGATAACGAGGCGACCTAACAATCCGTCCGATCCAACTCTGTGTCCAGTACAAAATAAATGGAATAAACAACCGGCTACATAGGATGATCAATTCATAAGTGAATTCTCAGTGTAGAGACGGGTCGACTCGGTGAAGTATTTACGTAACAGGAGCCGTCCTAATTTATTCTTTCTGAAAATCGATAATAGTGTGGGTGTACCTCGTGTGTTTAAATTATTATCGAATAGTCAGTGAAAATGCCACTGTTCACTAACGTGCACCATAAAAATCGTTTAAAAATAAAGTGCAGTCAAGAATTAATAGTGCATTAAAATTGGTAATCGGATAGTGTATTTCCTGGTATTTAGTGATTGAAATAAATAATTAAATTAAACTAGCGTTTTAGGTAATTGTAATATGGCGCGAAATAATAAATACATAAAAATAAAGTGCTAATTCTGCCTGTTAGCGGTATTTTATGAATTCTGCAAACCTTTTGGAATAATTAATATTGACATTAATAATTTTGAAGCAATAGAATAAGTATGAGTTTACATATTAATTATAATATAGTTATGACATTTTCAGTTCATGGCTTCTATGATTTTCAAGTAGTTTTAAAGCTTCAGTTATGTTAATAATTATTGATTACAGGAAACTGTAAATATAATAGCATTTTAAATAATTACTATACTACATTTGTAATACAAATCATAAATGATTTGTGATGAATTTATTGAAACAAATGTTATTTTATTTCGATTTATTTAAAGAATTGCTCTCGGCGAATGATATATCAAATTCAATAGCTAAATAATGGGCTAAGTTTCGCTCTCTTTCAACATTTATCATTTGGACTATTTCCCGATGTACAGTTCTATAATAGAAACATAAATCATAATTTAATAGAGTATATACCATACAACAAAGAAAATAAAGTCTACTTTTGCTCTTAGTCACATAATGATGATGATAACGATTTTATGTATACACAGAAATCGAACATTATATGCATGAACATTATTTTTATGTATTCAAGTAAATCAAATGTGGATGTTTACATTAATTTCTTTTGTTTAGGCAGGTGTCATCGGCCTTTATTATTATCGTTTATGTCGTCCTTCAATAAATCGTTCAAATTAAAATAATAAAACCTTCTGGACTCTGATAGAACGCTTTTATCTCGATTCTGTATGCAAATCGACCTTTCCGCTAAAATGATCAGCATGCCCTGCTTTTCTAGGGAGATATTCGTTCTACACGATCTGTTCTTCTGCTTCAATGCGTTATCGTCTTTTTTAATTATATATTTATTAGTTATAAGCATTTCGTCAAACTTTGTTCTGCGATTGTTTTATATGTCACATGTCTATCTGCATTCGTACTTGTTGATATACGAAAAAAGTCAATGAGCTATGCAACTGGATACAATTTAATATTGTAACATATCGTAGTGCATGTTTAAAAGTTAACTGGTAACAGTTGCATCAAATTCAAAACTTGTTTCAAACATTGACAAAAGTTGTTGTGGGACCAATCTCAATTGATTCAATCTTAGCACTTTGTTGGACGTTTTCTTGTCGTTTTCTTGTCTGCAGTCGAAACTTCGATTTAACTTTTTTTATTCACCCCTCTCAGTTGCCCCTTTTTGCACTTCGATATTCAACAAAACTAACACGTTTTATGAGAGTTTCGTTTTTCTTTTAAAATTTTAATCAATTGTCAAATGTTATTGAAAAAATAAAAGAATAATATTTTCTGTGTTATAAAGCTAATGTCCAAACTTTTGTTGTGTCTTGAATCTACCATAGACAAAATAGCTTATCGCAATTTTGTCTTATTTTTAAAATGAAGTTGGTATAAGCGCAATATTTGAGTGAAGAGTGAAGTCATTAAATTATAAGAATTGTTCCAAGTGTGGATACGAAAATTATTTCTATTTTTTTATATAGCTCTGATTCATAACACAATTTGTCTGCCTGTTCCTAAGCTTGTAGCTGTTCTGAAGCTTTTTAGTGAAGTGTTTTACCAACATTGCACCTCCTCTGTTGCCCAACTAATAGTAACCTTCTAACTCTGGAAATGTTCTTTGGAAAGCCGAAGCAAATGAGAGTGTCATGATGTTCAAACAATACGATGGATGCAACAACTAAAATTTCAGAGTATTATACCACACTATCACTTTTTTCTTGAAAGTTAACAGTATAGGGTCGCTGACACCCGAAAAGATGATCAGCGTATTTTTCTCCAACAGAGACGTGAATCTTTTTCAGTAGTATAACGTTATAACTGTTTCTTAGATTCCTAAGTGGTGATGTATCCCAAAATGTGTTTACAGTGTTATAGAGACAGAGCAGAAAAGCTTTTTTTTTAAAGAATATGCACAAGCTTGTGGACAGACGACTAAGCGTATCACAAAGCTAGGAAAATAAAATATTGGAAAATAAAACACAAGATTGTAACGAGTTTGCTAGAAAAAAATTTGAAAGAGTTTTCAGAAAAAAGGTTCAATTTGCTTTTGTCATTTCATGCAGGATCAATTGAAGTTGATTTAAAAAAGAATAACACCGAAGGAAAAATTGTAGATACGAAAATCAAAATTCATGTTGGAGATATGTGATTTTGTAGTAAATTGATGCATTAAGAAACTTGAAGGAACGTCTGTTGTTCCTGTAAGTTATATTTATTATACATTATATAACTTTGAGTGGGGGTCATATTTATAGAAGGGCATTTTTGACCTCTAAAAACACGTCAATAGTTTGTTTTTTCAAATTTGTTTGATTTTTAATCTTTTTTATAGATTTTCATACCCCGCTGCTGGACAAACTAGTGTAACCTCAAACTACGGCTCTCTTTAGTTACAACGCATGCACAATTGCGAACTGAGCTGTGTTGTTAAATCTTATATTTAAAGTAAAAGTAAATTTCCACACCACTCGTCGTGAAGTACTGCTCTTTACTACGTTACTTTTGTTGAGTGAGTATTTGGCACGAGCCCTATCATCCCACAAAAATGAAAGTTTAATTAATATTTCATAAATCATGTAAAAAATGTTTATTTTTTTTTAGAAACGATAGAATGCTTCCTTTAATCTTCCTTTCAGCGTCTCGACCACAGTGATATCAAAAAAATTTGGTGACTTTAAAATAACACGTCGCTAAGTTATAAAAAAGCAATCTGGTTTACCAGGAAGCAATATAGCAGGTCGCTTCTTACTGTAGCCATTTGAATGGCACAGTTGGGAGTCAGCACGACAGATGGAGCCATTTGCGCTCCCGCGTACATATGCTCAAAATGTCCACCACCATTTTCGATGCGCGCATGACACCTTCGAATCCAATTTTCGCGCACTCGCTGGATAACACCTCAAGAAAAGGAAATAGTAGTACGCAAAAAACACTCTGACACGGTCGAATCCAGATACCTACTGAATTGCGTATTGGTGGTTGTGGTTGCTGGACACTTTAGTACCTCGTGTTAATAATCCGCCGCGCCGTTGTCACATTGCTAATATGAATTTTATCGAATTTTAAATTTATTACAACGCTAATTATTATTGTTTTTTTAGAATTAAGCATAAAGAAGTTCAAAAAGTGATAAACATTGTATTTTATGGTATTCTTTGCATGCAGTTATGTAAATATTCCTTAATTAATCGAACTTTTGTACATCAAGTTGGAGATTTAGATAATTTTTTTCTCGGAAATGGTTAAGTTTAGGACCCATGTCATATTGGTAGGTTTTTTGTTTATTTTAATGTATTCTATCGTCTCTTAAAATTAAGGCAGTCAAACTTCTAACACCCTGTATATTTAAAAGAAAACACAGACATAAAATCATAGAATACCTCCATCCAAGAATCCTCTAGAATCCAATACGTGGTAGTAGTTCACATACCTACTAAAAAATAACCCATATTTTACATTTTCTCAAATGACGTGTGAACCTTTACGTACATCTAAAAATACGTTTTCTAAGAATGAGAAATATAAAATTTATTACATTCTGTAGTCCAGTGGATTAAACGCACTACACGTCGGATTCTATTTCAGTTCGTAACATTTACTTTCCCATTCGTTGTTTTCCATTGTATCCAAGATTTTTTTTTATTTCGTTTCTTGGACGTTTATCTTACATCTCTGGAAATTCCAAATAATATTTGGAATGTTTAGTGTATACTTCATCATTATTCATTCGTTTTAAGTTACTTATTAAATAATCTGCGTCTCAAAGATTATCCACATGCATATGGTTAGGTAGAGAAGTATTATATGCAGCACGTCAAAAATTAAGACAATAATTAAGACATCAATTTTACATTTTTCTAAGTACAAAGTTATTAAATTATTCCTATTACTTAATGACTTTCTTATCAAATTGTACTAATTGTACCTGACTGCCGTATATACTTGCAATTAAATAAATCTCAAGAGATTAGTAGGGATATTGAGGCTTGCGAATTAAATTCAAATAATTAACTTAGTAATTGCGTCTGCCATACCGGAAGTGCAGGGGTTGTGAAAATTTCTTCATTAAAGAGATTATGAGCGACAGGAGATTAACTGGATTTTCAGAAATAGATTGCTACAACTTTGAAAACTATTATTAAACCATTTGTGTTAAGTTGTTCCGCGTTTAGTAAACAACAGATTAATTTAGTTCTAACTTTCATTTAGATTATTTAGTTCTAGACTTCATGTAGAGACAGAATTAATTAAATGTACCTAAAGGGTATCCAAAATTCATGAAGAATTAATTTTGATAGAAAACAGGTTTTTAATTAAAAATTTAATTTTTTTTAATTTATTCATAAAGTATACAGTATATGGCAGCGGTATTCAAACTGTGTTCTGCGGAACCCTGGGGTTCCCTGCACCTCTTTGGGGGTTCCGGAAGTCAAAAATTCAAAATTTTTAAATTAAAAATATCGATACTATAAAATTCAAAAAAAATATACCCAAAGCTTTTTTGTTTTTATTAAGTACTTCTTCATCTACTTCATCTACATCTAGTGGTTGGTCCTTGAAAAGTCCCATAGTACTTACACGTGTATAACTTACTAATAGGAACTTAACAAGAAAGAATTTTATATATTTATGCAAGTGCAAGTAGGCTTATAACTGACAAGCTGGTGTAGTGTGTCATTCTTTTTTTTATTATCCAATATACAGGCTGTTCTTCTTCTTCTTCTTCATCTAGTGGTTGGTCCTTTAAAAGTCCCATAGCACTGCGGCCTAATTAGGCCTATTGTGCGTCCCACTACTAGTCCTATTCAGCAAGTAGATTTGTCCTTTTTACAAAGTCCAAAAGCTTCCTTGCTGACACTTCTCTCAGCTCCTTGGGTTCCAAATAGGGTCTCCCAAGGAGCGCCATTCTGCTACGTGCAAATCCCGGGCACTCGC